CCCATGCCTCCTGAAACCTCACTCTCTCCAGGCTCCATCCCTCACATCTTCAGGAATTTCCCACCTGGAGTTGGCAACCCCATCTCCTTCTCAGCCAATCATCAACCTACCTTTATTTCCCCCTCACTCTTCAGCTTTCCACCCCCCACACACCTGCAGCCTCTCCCGTGCTCTGAAGCCCTGGCTGGTATGTCACATTGGCTGTAATACGGGGGCCACCTCAGCAGCATATAAGGATACAGAGCCGACCATTTTCTCCAGGGGAACTGATCTCTGCCATCTGGAAAGCAGTTGTAATTCTGAGTGATCTCCAGCCCTCACCTGGAGATTGGACACATTTTACCTCAGAACAGCAAACTGTTTAGAATGTTAGAGGCAAAAGCCAATCAAGTCACATATGCAAACGACCTCTGTGTTCCAAGGCAAAGGCCAATGAGGCTGCATATGCAAATAACCTCTGTGTTCTGACTGGCTATGGGGGGGGGAGGAACAGCAAACTGTTTAGAATGTTGGAGGCGAGACTCAAGCAATGCAGCCAGTGGATAGGGACAGATTCTGAGTGACACACCAGGGCGCCAACCAATTCTGGAGCGTGTGGAATGTTCTAGAGAAGTGCCACCACCATTCGGCTTTTATATATAAGGGAGATAGGACCTCTCTTCTTCTCTCTCTTACCTGGGCTTGGAGCTTATAGCAAGTTAACCTTTTCGAAGTTAATCCGTTCACAATAAGTTAAATGTCCCTACATGAATATGCCATGTAAGATGTGCTTCTATTTTTGTAAGTAAAATTTCTTTTGTTACCATTGGAATTAGGTCATCATTGTAATTTGTTTGAACAGTATTTCTGGGAAAAGTGAAGGACTGGAGATACTGTGTAAATAAAGCTTCTGTGCTTTTAAGGCAGTTGATTTTGTTTGCATTTAACCCAGTAGTCAGAACTGTCCAAAAATGTTCCTCAGACATTAAAACAACCACCTGATCCCACACCTTCCTGAACAATTCCATTTCAGACATTCTGCCGATGATGATAAAAGTGTGCAGAGCCTTCCTGACCTGGTCAGGAGGGCCATTCCACCAATTGGAGGCCACGGCAGAGAAAGCTCAGGCACTGGGCATCTGTTGGTTTTAGCATTTGCAAGGTGGCCACTTCATAAGGCTTCGCTTGGGTGGGGGAAGCTGTCCCAACCAAGCATGCCCGAGTCCATAGCACAGAACACTGATCCCCCTGGCCTTTCCTGACCACTCAATCTGATGCAAAGTTTGCTTGTGTGATCCTGCCCGCAGAAAGACGGAAACCTCCAGGGTAGCAGTGACCTGCCACCTGCAGTCAAGCTGGACCGCAGCAAATCCGAGGACCTTCTCGGGACTCCCAAGAAGCCTCGCGTCTCCTACAGCTCATCGGAGAACATTGAGGTGGCTTCTGGAGCTCTCCGTGTTCATGCAGGAGACAGATCTGACACTGGCTGCCTCAGGTTACGGATGGTCAGCGAACAGTTGCTCTTCCCCAAGAAAGCTGGAGTCAATGGAGGGGATGCCCAGGAGATCATGGAGGCAGACTCCCGGCCCAGCTCAGGTACGACTTCTGTTGCAGGTTTGGAATCCGGCGGCCCAAGGGATAACTTCCTTCTTCCTCTCTGAGCAGGCTTAGAATGACCTGGATGCAGGAGTCTCCATTCCGGCTGTGGATCCTGGGTAGTTCAGCAGTGGAATCGGCTGCCTAGGGAGGCGGTGAGCTCCCCCTCACTGGCAGTCTTCAAGCAGCGGCTCAACAAACACTTCTCAGGGATGCTTTAGGCTGATCCTGCATTGAGCAGGGGGTTGGATTAGTGGCCTTTATGGCCCCTTCAAACTCTGAGTCTTACTTTCTGAAGCTTTATTATTTATTTATTTATTTAAATTTATAACCTGCCCTCCCCGCGAACGGGCTCAGGGCGGCGTACAGTTGGGGCCAATGCCCAATACATAAAACATTAAAACTGCATTTTAAAAACATTCAGTGCAACATAAGTGCTCTCCACAACAACTAACACGGGAACTGATGTCACCAGGATGGTATCCTTAGTGGCCACAGTTCCACGCAGTACCACCATTTTTGCACTCACGGCGAGTGGGTAATAAGGGCTAGGACAGATGGTAACAGTCGTGAGCACTTTGAAGTACTTGAAGAAGTTGTTGGTATTTTCGATGTTTCCTTTTAAATTTGTGCATGCAATTTATTTTTTCCTCTCTCATGCACTCCAATTGCTACCACAGAGAGTGGGCGTGTCTGCTCCCACTAAGCTGTGGAATCTTGTGAGCAAAAATCTACTTTGTGAGCTACCGGCATTAAAATTGTGAGCGAGCGATTTGGCTGCCGCAGAAATTGGTTTGCTCTGGAGCCATCTTTCCTGAGCCAAGACAAAAATATCTGAGCCAGAGGCTAAAAAACTGTGGGCTAGCTCACACTGCGGAACATCCTTCACTTTATTAGTAATAATAATGATAGTGGTTAACATTTATATGGTGCTTTTAAAGTGTTTCACACACATTGTCTTGTAATCCTTACATCAATCCTGTCAGCAGTGCTGTGGCTCAGTAGGAGAGCATCTGCTTTGCATGCAGAACGTCCAAAGTTCAAATCCCCAGCATCTCCAGTTACAAAGATCAGGTAGGAAGTGATATGTGAAAGACTTCCCAGCATCTCCAGTTACAAAGATCAGGTAGAAAGTGATATGTGAAAGACTTCCTCTTAAGTCCCTGGAGAGCCACTGCCAGTCAGAGGAGACAACATGGACCTTGATAGACCAACCTATGAGAAAGGTCAGAATTACTGTTCCCATAATGCTGAAGAGGGGTTGATGCTGAGAGGGTGTGGCTTGCGTAGCTGCTTTGGGCCCCTTTGAGGATAAAAACCGGACAGAAATATTTAAATAAATCAAAATGAGGCCACCAAGTCAATGCCTGTTGAGATTCGAACCAGGCATTCCTCATTTAGGTGATCTTGGCCACTGTGCCACACCTTCTGTCTGGTACAGTAGTAGTTGGATCATGACAAGCAGCACACCTCTTCCTTTCTTTGTCCGCAGCCTCCTGTATTCAGAGGTAGATTGCTCCTGCACGTGGAGGTTATATATCAGTGCCACGGCTAAATCATCATGATTAGACAGCTGCCTAATCCTTGTCCCCTAAAAGCCGTCAGATCTAGGTTTCACATCACCATACCTTGTCATCCCCCCCCCCTCTGCAATTTTCAGGGTTTTATGAGACCAGCGAGATGGGCTCCCTCTCGGATTCCTGCGCCTCTGTACACAGTGACGGACCCGGGGATTCACGCTGTAGTGTCGGCTCCCTCTCTCACCTGCCGGGCCTGCGGGAGAGCAACTTTGTCCGGCCGCGCTCTACGGATGAGGCTGCCGTCCGTCTCCTGGACCTCCAACTGCAGCGATTCACGTTGGCAGATGCTCCTGGTGCTGACGGTAGAAGGCCTGTTTCGACAGGTGAAGGCATGCTTGCGTAAACAGCTAGTTTAGCTGTCTATCTCTTCCGTCCCTTTCAACCTCTGCTCTGTTCTTGCTGAGAGAGGAGTTAGACATGAGGTGTGAATAACACTGCAGACTTTTGTTAAACAGGAGCATGATCAGGCCTCTGCATGAGCCACGATTCTTTGGGAACATAGGGAGAAAACATAATGGTATCCTTGGGCTTCAGCTACCTAACAGGCTCAGGTTTTTAGTCCTTGTGGCTGTTGAAATATTTCTTGAAAGAGGTCCCCAACCTGGATGCCATGGCACCTACCTAGCGTTTTTAGAAAATGGGTAGGGCCAAGTGGGACTTTTGGCCAGCCTGGCTTCTGATTGGCCATGGGAGATCATATTGGCTGTACAGATTCAAAAATGAACAGCTGCCACCACAACACAAGAGAGCCAGTTTGGTGTAGTGGTTAAGTGTGCGGACTCTAATCTGGGAGAACCGGGTTTGATTCCCCACTCCTCCACTTGCACCTGCTGATGTGACCTTGGGTCAGTCACAAGCTCTGGCACAGCTGTCCTTGAAAAAGAGCAGTTTGTGTCAGAGTTCTCTCAGCCCCACCCACCTCACAGGGTGTCTGTTGTGGGGAGGGGAAGGGA